GGCGCCCGCGCGCCGCCGCCGGGAGCCGCGCGGACCAAGCGGTTTGTGTCCGAGGCTCGCTTCGTGGAAACGCTGCTGGTGGCGGACGCGTCCATGGCCGCCTTCTACGGCCCCGACCTGCAGGTAGGACGCGCTCCGCCCCGAGTCTCCCGCTTCTCCCCTTCTCTGTCCCCCTGAGGAAACCCTTCCCCTTCTCCACTCTCCCAAGACTGACGCCAAAAAAAAAAAAAGTTTCTTTCTTTTCTAAGAAAGCGCAGGGACTCTCGGCTCAGCCTCTGACGCCGGGCTGCCTACTGCCTCTCCCTGCAGGTCCCCCCGGTTTGGGGCGGAGGTCCCAGGGCTTCCCCTCTCAGCTGCTGGCCCCCATCCCTCCCATCCTGAACCTCCCGCAGCTCAGCACTGCGCAAGCTGGACTGAAATGGGGTTTTTTAGCACCCCAGGCACCTGCCTCTCCCAACAGAGATGAAAACTGAGCATTTTGCAAGAATATCCACCCTGCCCNCCCCCCGGTTTGGGGCGGAGGTCCCAGGGCTTCCCCTCTCAGCTGCTGGCCCCCATCCCTCCCATCCTGAACCTCCCGCAGCTCAGCACTGCGCAAGCTGGACTGAAATGGGGTTTTTTAGCACCCCAGGCACCTGCCTCTCCCAACAGAGATGAAAACTGAGCATTTTGCAAGAATATCCACCCTGCCCCCCATTTCTCAGCCCTCTGCTGTCTCCAGACCTGAGAGGCCCCGGTGGAAAGATGTGGCTTCTTCGTTACCTTGAGTACAGAACTGAGGTTGCCATAAATAAAACACAATGTTTGGAGGGAACTGAACCTGGAAAGGGGCTGCCCCACTTCTGTGCGCCCAGCTGGTTCTGATCAGGGGGCGTGGACTACCTTGCCAGCCTGGCCCTGGGCCCTGCAGAACTTGGCAGTGCCAGCACCAGCGCAGAAGGGAGGGGACAGGATTGCTGCCTGGGGGCTCCGTGCGGGAAACTGAGCTTCAGTGGAAAAGGGAGGGGAGAAGGGAGTGGGGATATGAACTCTCAGTTATTGTTCCTAGCTTGGTCCACCCAGCTGATCTAAGCCCAGACACAGCTGTCTACTGAGCTGGGGCAGGAAAACTATGTGCAGGGCACAACCCCTATAGCCAGCTGGCTTCTAACTAAACTCAAAGATGGTGCAGACGCAGCAGGAGGTGTCTGTGTTGCCCTGGCCCCAACATCTCCCCCACACACCAGGTGACATGGAGAGGCAGCATTTTCTCTTCCCTGGGGGCACAGAACCAGCAATGTGCCAGGTAGAGAAGAACTGACCTGCCTGGAGGTCAGATGCCCTGAAATGGGGATCCTGGCCACTGGGGCAGCTCAGTTAATGCCTTTCCAGTGATGGCCATCTTGGCTGGGGGCCCTGTTCTAGGCTGAGCCTGTGCCTGGCTGTTGGAGGCACTGAGCATATCGGTATCACCTGTGCAGAACAGTCCAGACAAGACGCAGTCGGCTCTCTGTTTCTCACCCCATCTTTCCCACTCTGCAATCGCTGGGACATGCATTCTAGATGGGGGGATGGGAAGCACTGCAGGGCAGGTTAAACCCTGGGCAGGCTCCCCTGCATGCTGCCTGGCTGTGTTCACTTCTCCCGGAGCATGGTATGAGAGCTGGGAGCCCTCCAGAAGTCCGTTCATTGCAAGCTCAGAGCTGAGCTGCTGAGCCTCACCCCACACGTGGACCAGTGTCTGACATCTGCCAGGAAGTACCGATAACAAGAACACGGAGAAACAGCAGAAAAAGTAATTGCCTGTCAGTCTGTGGAGCCAGAATGTCCTTCCTACTGCCCTCCTACCGTCTCGCTGTCTGAGTTCTTCACCTACACACTGAAGATGTTGGTTTTTTGCCTCCAGGGCATACTTGGCTTCTGCAGCCACCAGAGCCATCTAGAAGCAGGCTTGGCTTGGTGCTGGGCTCCAGGATGCCCAGGCCACTGAGCAGGAGGCTGGGCTGCGTTTTGACCCAAATTTGCTGCACCAGAAAATCAGCTTTCTCCTTGCAGAGCCGCCCAGGATGACACCTCATGTGTTGCCTGGCTGATGACCTAGCGCACACTCC